CTGACGGACTACAGGATGGTAAGTGGTAATCGTCCTGTGGTCTATACATGTCACTAGAGTCACATATATTGATAGATAGATAGGTATCCGTTATAAAAAATCACGTTTTCAACATAAATGAAACAATTTCTTTGCAAAATTGTGCAATATATTTTAGAACGAATTAGAGCCAGGTCCGAACCTACGACCTTTAAAATTGTAAGTCAGGGTTTTATCTACTAAGCCACGATCTTCTCCAAAAAGGATTATATAATAATAATAAGCCAGGCAATATAAAGACCGTCATCAAGTCTCAAGGAAAGCAGCGTTGCCTAAAACAGGGACATCTCAAATTAATAACCAAACGAGAAGCACTGAATCACTGGCAAGAAATGCCAGGATTAACACATTCAAAAGCCCTAATATCGGGCTACTCGACCAAATACTCCAATAAACTACTGCTATTGAGTAAAAACAACATATGCATGATGACTAGGGCCCTCACAGAACACTGCAAATTAAACAAGCATATGGCTAAACTAGGCCTATGCACGACAAGTATCTGCAGATTCTGCCAAACTGAAGAGGAAACGCCACTACACGTCCTATGTGGTTGTAGCCCACTCATGCATAAACGAAATATTTCCCTTGGAAAGTTTACACTCTTTCCCGAGGAGATAAAAACCTTCGCTCCTAAGAATATCCTTCAATTCTTGTCCCTGACGGGTCTAAGTAGCGAACATTGAAAAAGGGCGAGCACAATAGATAGGTACGTCGCAGTGCTACAGATGCTACAAACATCTGACAATAGCCCAAACAACCCAATAAAAAGCAGCATAATATATACACATGACTACAAATTTTTGTACCGTGCGAGGAATCGAACCCGCGACCATCTGATATAAATCTATGTATTATACCGCTAGGTCACCAAGGTCGTAGAGGCATATATATTATATATATATTGTATCTAATTTGAATAAATTCACAGTGACCTGTAGAACTGGTCACGAGCGGGCGGCGATACTCGTTTTTTTACTGTTATAGAGAAATTGATAATGAATAATATGCTAATAAATTATGTATATAGGCATTTTGAAACAACCGTCCGTCTGTATAATTAAATAGAAATCATTAAAAAAAACTTTAATGACACGTGAAAACGGATAAAACGCATTTTTTTCTAAATTTGTTGGACGCCACACCTTTCGACCGACTATAATTAATTTCAATTAAGTTTGAACATTATTAAGCTTCTATGAAGAAGTGGAAACGCCGCTACACATCCTATGTGGTTGTAGCCCACTCATGTATAAACGAAATATATCCTTTGGAAAGTTTACACTCTATCCTGAGGAGATAAAAACCATCGCTCCTAAGAATATCCTTCAATTCTAGGAGGAAAGGAGATTGTTAGTAATGTGAATTATCTTATTGCTAGCAATGTACCATGTCAGGTTCCCCCTGGAAACCATCGTGATAAATTCTTGGTGAATTTGTCACGGTGGGTTAACTGATCTGACCTCATGCTCATCTTGTCATCCTCCACTGGTGCCCATCGTAAACCGTTAGCGCAGGCGGGTGCACCATTCCATTATCATAAAAAAAAAATTCTTCAATTCTTGTCCCTGACGGGTCTAGGTAGCTAACTTTGAAAAAGGGCGAGCACAATGCAGGTCGCAGTGCTACAGGTCTTAGCACCTGACAATAGCCCAAAAAACCCAATAAAAAAAGCTTCTATTGTCAAAGACTAATTTATGTGTGTATGTGTGTCATATACATAGCAGTTTTTATCGATTTAATATATTTTTTATACATAACTAGCTACCAACTTCGGCTTCGCCCGTGTGTACATGTATTATACATATAAACCTTCCTCTTGAATCACTCTATCTATGAAAAAAACCGCTTCAAAATCCGTTGCGTAGTTTTAAAGATTTAAGCATACATAGGGACGGACAGACAGCGACAGCGACTTTGTTTTATATTATGTAATGATGATTTTATAATATACTAGCTGTACTCGCGACTTTGTCCGCGTGGAATTTAACAAAAAAGAATTAGAGAATGTTTCTAAAATAAAAGTAGCCTAAGTTACTCAACAAAACATCAGCTACCCGCCAAACTAAGTCCCGTGAAAATTGGTCCAGCCATTTCAGAGATTAGCCGGAACAAATAGATAGACAGACAGACAGACAAAAATTAAAAAAAAAAAATATTTTGGTGTATGTACCGCATTTATATTCATATGCATGTAGTAAAAGACGGTTATTTCAATATTACAATCAGACACTCCAATTTTATTTATATGTATAGATTATATAATCATTCTTCACTCCTTATATATATAAACTACATGCGTGTGAAATTTTATCCTCTTCCGTCCAAAAAAAAATATCGTACACTAAGGTATAAAGTTTTTGCATCAAGTATTAAAAGAATGATAATAAAAATCTTATCTTTTATATAATAAATAAAAGAAATCTAAATATATATAACTCAAAGGTGACTGCCATAGTGATCTATCAACGCACAGCCCAAACCACTGGACGGATCGTTCTGAAATTTGGCATGCAGGTAGATGTTATGACGTAGGTATCCGCTAAGAAAGGATTTTGATTAATTCTACCCCCAAGGGGATAAAATAGGGGATGAAAGTTTGTATGAAACTTTGTCAATTTTAAACCGATCGGTGTGAGACTTTGCATGCATAAAGCTACTATGACGTAGGCATCCCCTAAGAAAGGATTTTGATAAATTCCACCCCTAAGGGTACAAATTAACGCGAGCGAAGTCGCGGGCAAAACCTCTTTTAATAATAATAGACAAGGAGAATTCACACAGCGACATCTATAATAGTTTTAAGCTAAGCAAAGCTTGTGTTATGCGTACTAGACAATGGATACAAACACAGAAAGACTCTTTTTGTAAATACATTTTGAATATACAGACCGACGAACGACACAAATTAGGTATACTCATCAATACAAATGTTTGTACCGTGCTAGGAATTAAATTTATTTTATTCAATAGGAATTGTTGATTTGATTTCTAATCACTATGACTGATTTCCTCGTATTAATTGTTTAACCAGTTAGTTATGTATTCAATATTTTTTCTTTTTGAGTATTTAATTGAATTAGTGCTAATTGGTGGTTTGTATTCACACACTTAAACTTAAAAATGTAAAGTATTAATAAAATTATTTAAAAGAGCAACACGCAAGTTTCTTGCTCGTTCTTCTTGTGATGAGACAGCTTTCCGAACGAGCGGTAGATTAAAAAAAATGTAATGACTATTCAAAAGTGCTTCAATGTAAGTTTATTTGAATAAATGATTTTCTATTCTTTCTATTGAACCCGCAGTACTCGCACCCACGGGAGTAAGGTGGTGCCCTAAACTGCTAGACCATCGAGGCCGTCGTAGATGTATATAGGTTAGCTGGGGGTTGTTTGTTAGCAATGGGAACTGGTAACTCCCATTGCTAGCAATGTACCATGTTAGGTCGACCTCCACGTGGATCTCCCTGGAAACCATCGTGATGAATTTGTCACGATGGGCTAACTGACCTGACCTCACCTTCATCTTAGCATCCTCCACTGGTGCCCCGCCAGCGTAAACCATTAGCGCAGGCGGGTGCACCATTACATTATCATACACAAAATTTGCCAGATAGTATTTTAAATTTAAGTGAAGGCAAATTTAAGATACATGTAAAAAAAACACTTTGCTCTAAAGCTTATTATAAAATAAACGACTACTTAAATGACTACAATGTGTGGACTTAATTACAATTTTAACTTTTATTATGAGGTATATAATTTTTACCATTGACATGGACAATGTAATAACATTAAAGAAACTTATTATAAATTTTGTAACGACATATTGTAAATTAAATAATGTAAATTTAATATTGTAATGGGTGAAAACTGTGATCGGTACAGCCTATGCTGTAAATAATATAATTGACGTAGTGGAGTAACCTGAAACAGTCATGCTCGCTATAAAATTCAAACTTGTGGCGGCGTGGTGGGCCGGGTCGATGTGCACCCTCAAATATGGTTGAGTACAATGATGGCTGGCTCATACGTCATACTCGGAACGGTTGCTGCTTGTGGGGACTGGTCTGTTCAGGTTGTGAACACTGATTAAATTTTTTGTTCTTTGCGATAGCATATGCTGGTGGTCACTCTATTCTCCCAAATTTGAATTTTAATGACTGTGTATTATTATAAACATGTTCCACTATTATTTGAAAAAATACGAGCTGAGTTTCTTGTCAGTTCTTCTCAACTCGATATCATTCCGAACTGACGGTAGATTTGACATATCATAAGAGTCTGTAATAGACCTACATGAATGAAGATATTTTGAATTGGATTTGGATACTTTTGGATTTCTTACTTTTTCACGCAAAGCTACTGAACGGATTTTGATGAAACTTTACAGTAATATAGCTTATATGTTAGAATAACACATAGGCTATTACTGTTATGCGGGTGACACCGCGGGCACAGCTAGTTTTCTATATATTAGTATACGTACATTTCTATATATTAGTATACGTTCTTCTATATAAAACCTACATGAATAAAGATATTTTGAATTTTGAAAAAAAAAGTATAGGTTAGCTTTTAAGCATACAGCTTTGTTTAATTTACTATCTGAAATATCTTCCGTGTTTTGTGTTAATTAATTGAGCAATTGGTGTCAAAAGAAACAAATTATTGCGACATTTTTTCACTATAATATATCTACGTAAATATATTTCGCAAACAGAAGGAAGTGTGATTGGCAAGTATCCAAACTTTCGCAGGAAAAAATATAATGTATATATACATTAAAATCCATATAAAACTCATTAACGAAACGACCAGAAAGTTACGTTATTAATCTATAAATCACAAACAGAGAATCGCAATTTAACTTTTAAATCGATATAAATAATGCACGTGCACTTCGAAATCACTTAAAAAAACACTAAAAAAAATAAACACTTCACTGTTTTGTTTACATACGAGAACACGTTGGCGGGAAAATTTGACAGTCCGTTAATCGCGCGCGAAATATCCAGCCATATTTATTTTGTTTTACTTTTTTTTTACTTTCTACAACCGGCTTTTGTTTACGGCCAGTTATAATATTAGTGTAGCGACGCGGCCGTCAGCAACTGAGAGACTGGTCCAAAGTGAACTCTGGCCGTTTCATGTTACTGAGTTGTAAATAGAAAACTTATTTGCGTGGTGGTGTTGTACAGAATTCAAGCGCTTAACGGGGACACTGGTGAATCATAGGGATGAATAATTCCTAGGGAGGCGATATTGTCAATAAAAAAATCGAATATTTATTAATCGATTGTTTATTAGCATAGTAATCGATTGAAAATAACTAAATATATTTTTATTAAACGAAAATGTATGTAATGTATTCCTAATTTTTACGGTTCCTGGCCTATTTATTAGGTCACTACTTGGTCTTGTGTTTTAGTCCGAAAATCCGTTTTCTTTTCAACACCTTGATGAAAATAATAGTAATAATCATCCTTATTTGTCTCAAACGAGTCCTCTCTGCTATTGTGTTATAGCCTTTACCAGTAAATTAATACAAAATAATAGATTAATCGATTGTGTGTAACAATTAATCGATTATTTATTAAACACCAATCGATATTATTCATAATCGATTATATTACACAACCATAATTACTCGACTTTATTTTCCTTACTTTTGTAACGTGGGTGGTATTAGGATTAAGACTTATAGGTACATAACAAAACCTACAGTAAATAAATATGATATAATTTGTTACATCTGAGTCAATAGTGACGAAATATAGGTATTTATAATTTAGAACCAAATAATGTAAACGCAGTTATATACATATTGAACCGTTTCAAAAGTTTGTGAGTATGGATATGAAATTTCGGATACGGATAGGTTTCGGATATAGGAATGATTATTATAGCGGATAGGGATATGAAATTACTTCGGATTATCCGATAGTTTCGGATAATTTCGGTTACAGATATTAATTTTTTATGGAATTTCAAAGTAAAATCAAATCATTGCATAGTATAAAATAAAGTCGGAAGTCGCTGTCCGTCTCTATGTATGGTTAAATCTTTAAAACTACGCAAAGGAATTTGAAGCGGTTTTTTTTGATAAATTGAGTGATTTTGTCGACGCTGAAATAGACTTTTCTACTCTATGTATAGAATGTACAAAGTCTCTTATATTCTACTGATAATAATAAATAGATTAACTCGTTTTTTATCGTTACATCGCAAATTATCAATACTATCTAGAAAGATAAGAAATAACTTTAGTATTAGTGTATTCATATCACGATTAGTATAATAATAGTGCAGTTAGAGCATAAGACTTAAATTTAAATTCGTTTAATTAATTTAATATATTTTTTCAAAATGGCGGGCGTGTACGTAGCTGACAACAACGGTGTTCAGGTACTTTTTACTTTTTAATTTTCTGGACAAGCTAATGCCATATCGATCATACAGCCTTATTGTTGCAACTCTTTGCACGTTTTTGTATATTTATTTTCGTATCGATTTTAAATGTCTTTTTATTACAGTTTTAAGAATTGTCATATATTTTATTTATATAACTTTAATGCGCACAGTACAAAAAGTAACAGTACATTTGGCGGACTTAACACCATGCGATATTTTCTACCAGTCAGCTACTTCTAAAAGTAGACTTCTAAATAGATGGCGATTTTATTGCCTCTTTTTCAAATTAAACAATAACAATAAATAACTTTAGTATTAGTGTATATTCATATCACAATACTACAATAATAATGTAGTTAGTTAATTATAATTAAATTATAAAAAAATTAAAAATGGCGGTTACAGACAATAACGGTGTACAGACAATAACGGTGTTCAGGTATTTTTTGATTTGCATTTTTTCTCGTCGATTTATCAATTTGGATACGTGCGGTTTGGGCGTGAGATTTCCGGTTTCATTCCATAAAATGTGTGACAGGTTTCGCTTTTATATCGCACATTGGATAGATTGTGTTAAATTTAAAAAAATATACGCAGTATAGACAATGACCTTCATAAAAAAAAAGAAATTCGGAACTAGAAGAAAGAAAAAAAGATAGAATATCTTTGAGAAAAAAGGTAGAAGTAATGTATTCCAGTTCAAAAACATGATTAAGTACATAATATCCTGTAATCTTTTGTTTATGTATGTGCTTGTAAACTATATAATCCTTAGTTAATATTATAATGCGAAAAGTAACTTGAACTATCTGTCTGTCCGCCGCCCTTTCACGCTAAAACTACTGAACCGATTTAAATTAAATTTGGTACACTGATAGTCTAGACCCTGAGAAAGGACATAGAGTACTTTTTAATGCGTAAAAACAGTAAGGGGTTGAAAGGGAAGAGTAAGAGAAGAAGTATCGTAATTTTTAGAGCTAGAAGGTTGATACTTATTTTTAGGCTGTTGATTAAATATAAATAAATATAACATTTAAAGTTTATAAAAAAAAGTATCCTTAAAATAAATAGGGCATGACAGTTCTAATGGAAATCATTATTTTTGATGGTAAACCGATGAAACTTTTTATAATTAGCCTAAATAGTAAAAAATGCTATTCAAGGTCACTATTCCACGCGGATGGAGTCGCAGGCACAGGTAGTATGCGTATAATTAAATTCAATCATTAAATTCGATTACAAAATTTGACTGTATATTATATATTTGACTGTATATATCTATGGAATCTAAAATTTTGTTATCAAATATATTGAGGACATGTTGATAAAAATTTGGACATTTGATTTCTTTTATATATTACTAACTGTGCCTACGGTTTCACCCGAGATAAATTTGAATAAAAAGGTTATAGGCTATATTTTTTTAATTGAAATTTAACTACTTTCTTGTTTTAAATTCTCTTCTTCTTTTAAATTCCGATGATATAGGGAAAAAATTTTAATTATAATGTAAAAACATTTTACGTTCATAAGCGGCTAAAATATCCTACATGAATAAATATTTTTTTAATTTTAATTTGATGCATAAGCTATTTTACCGTAAAGTTTCATCGAAATCTGTTCGTTAGTTTTTGCGTGAAAGAGTAACAAATGGATGGATGGATAATCCATACTCACAAACTTATAAACTCACAAATATAACTAGCTTTTGCTCGCGGCTTCGCTCGCGTTAATTTATTCCTTTAGAGGTGGAATTTATCAAAATCCATTCTTAGGGGATGCCTACGTCATAACATCTACCTGCATGCCAAATTTCAGCTCGATCCGTCCAGTGGTTTGGGCTGTGCGTTGATAGATCACTATGTCAGTCACCTTTGAGTTATATATATTTAGATATTAGTAAGATAAAATATAAAATTCGGAGTATTATACATATACAAAACGAAATGTATACATAAATTTTAAGGATCATTGCTATGCGTTCAGTTACATTTATTTTCGTTACATTGTTATTATAGAAAATATCACATTCTTTTTTATTAAAATATTTTTTCTTTAAATAAACATAGCATAAGTTACTCTTTGCAATCAATACACAAACAATCATACTCATGCATACAAATGTTTGCACCGTGCGGGGAATCGAACCCGCTACCCACAGAAGTAAAGCTGTGTCTTAAACCGCTAGACCAGCGAGGCCGTCAAATGAGATTGTAATAATATATAAGGGAAAGATAATTCTTTCAAACTCTTAATCTATTTTAATTCCACAGGTCGCAGATGGCGGTGGCGGAATCAATGTAGTCGACAACAATTACCACGATGGCGGAATTCACGTCGCCGACAACAATTACCACGATGGCGGAGTACACGTCGCCGACAACAACTACCCTGCTCACGGCATCACGCTAGTCGACGACAACATCGTGCAGGGCGGGATCAACGTGGTTGACAATGGCGGAATCAACGTGGTTGATAATAATTTCGATGGCGGAGTCAACGTTGTGGCGTTTGACGATGGCGGTGTTAATGTTGCTGAATAATATGTTTATAGATAGATATAAATTTTAATTAAGTGTGCGTTGTATACAATATATATTTATTTATTTGCAATTAAGGACTTTTATTAAATTATAGATCCACTAGCTTTTGCCCGCGGCTTCGCTTTTGTTAATTTATCCCCTTAAGGGTGGAATTTATCAAAATTATTTCTTAGAGAATACCTACGTCATACCAGCTTTATGAATGCAAAGTCTCAGCCCGATCGGTTTAAAATTGACAAAGTTTCATACAAACTTTCATCCCCTATTTTATCCCCTTGAGGGTAGAATTAATCAAAATCCTAGCTTAGCGGATGCCTACGTCATAACATCTACCTGCATGCCAAATTTCAGCCCGATCCGTCAAGTGGTTTGGGCTGTGCGTTGATAGATCACTATGTCAGTTACCTTTGAGTTATATATATTTAGATTATAGATATAAATCTAATGTACTGTCAGTTTCGAATGTGATTTGAGCCGAATAATACTTACAAGAAATTCGCCACTAACTAATATACATATGTATATATATAAATATATACAAACAACTACCCTGCTCACGGCATCACGCTAGTCGACGACAACATCGTGCAGGGCGGGATCAACGTGGTTGACAATGGCGGAATCAACGTGGTTGATAATAATTTCGATGGCGGAGTCAACGTTGTGGCGTTTGACGATGGCGGTGTTAATGTTGCTGAATAATATGTTTATAGATAGATATAAATTTTAATTAAGTGTGCGTTGTATAAAATATATATTTATTTATTTGCAATTCAGGACTTTTATTAAATTATAGATCCACTAGCTTTTGCCCGCGGCTTCGCTTTTGTTAATTTATCCCCTTAAGGGTGGAATTTATCAAAATTATTTCTTAGAGAATACCTACGTCATACCAGCTTTATGAATGCAAAGTCTCAGCCCGATCGGTTTAAAATTGACAAAGTTTCATACAAACTTTCATCCCCTATTTTATCCCCTTGAGGGTAGAATTAATCAAAATCCTAGCTTAGCGGATGCCTACGTCATAACATCTACCTGCATGCCAAATTTCAGTCCGATCCGTCAAGTGGTTTGGGCTGTGCCTTTGAGTTTATTTTGTATGTATTTATTTAAAGTTATAAATATGTATTTAAAGTTATCATGTATATAAAATAAACTTACATCTATTGTAATTTATTTTTAGTTTTATTATTTTACTTTTCGTAATAATTCGAGGAATTGTTATTACAGGGACTTATTGATGTAATGGTACAAACCCTTAAAAGTTATAAATTCAAACTAACAAGTAACATCAAGATTTTAAAGTACGTTAATTTAAAATTTAATGTACTAAAAACATTTATATCAATTTATGTTTACAAACGATATGATGTCTTAAATGTTCTTTCATTAAATTATTAATTTAATACAATTTGATAACAATAATGGTAATACAATTTTCTTTTCCCCGTGTATTTGAAAACAATATGAAAGAAATTTTAGTTTCACAACCAATGTAAATAAACGCCTACAAAATAAAAATAGCAATGTAACAGTACAGCAACTGTGTTTAAGTGTTCCTAAGGCAATGGATATCGCTTTTTTCTTGAAGAAAAAAATTGCAGATAGTGTTATATTTATGGCACATATAAAATTAAGTGGGTAACAATATAGTCCACAGAGTAATTATAACTACCTTAACCTAAAACTACCTTAACTACCTAGAATGAGCACCGCCTTTATAAGAGTTGAAGCAAAATTGAATCTATGTACAACTTGCAATGGTTCAAAAAAAGAACAATTTCACACAAAATGTTTTATTGTAACATGGCTGGTATGCAGATGTGAACAAATACTCCAATAGACTACTGCTATTGAGTAAAAACAACATATGCATGATGACTAGAACAGGACACTGCAAATTAAAGAAGCATATGGCTGAACTAGGCCTATGCACGACAAAAATCTGCAGATTCTGCCAAACTGAAGAGGAAACGCTACTACACATCCTATGTGGTTGTAGCCCACTCATGCATAAACGAAATATCTCCTTTGGAAAGTTTACACTCTTTCCCGAGGAGATAAAAACCATCGCTCCTAAGAATATCCTTCAATTCTTGTCCCTGACGGGTCTAGGTAGCGAACTTTGAAAAAGGGCGAGCACAATACGTGACACCCCTAGTGTGTCAATCGTCCATAGACTAACAATTTACCATCAGATGGACCGTATGTCTTTTTGCCACCTGCCTGGTATAAATACATATATGTATATAAACTGCAAAAGTTAAATATCGAAATTCGTCGAATTGGGACCTCTTTTCTCTTTCTTTTCAGTTGTTTATGGCAATTGTGATCTAATAAATAAAAATACACTCACCAGTAGCTGAAAAACTCCGAGAGATCCATACAGTCGAGCTCTTTTCTATGTTCACTGTTCACTTCGTCTACGATGCCTGAGTCGACGTCCTCTTCAGAACTGGAACTGGTACCGTCGCTGTCTGTATCCGAACGCGCTTCGCTCATAGCGCCACGCGCGCGGGCTCACAACAATGTTCGAGTTTCGAATTTTTAAAAATTAAAACAGTGTTCAAATTTCGAAGTTTTAAATTTAATAGCACACTTGTTTTTGATATTTAAGTTTTAAAAATAAAATAAATTTCGAAATTCGAATTTTTAAAAATTAAGTCACACTTGTTTTTTATATTTAATTATTAAAAATAAAATAATGTTCGAATGTCGAATTTTTAAAAATAAAGTCACACTTATTATTGGTATTTTTGTTTCACACTTTGTATCCACAAGTCCACTTTATTCGTTTGTTAATTTGGTAATTATTTTAAATTACTCGCTTATTTTATGATTGATGTAATAATATTTTTTACTGAAAAGCAACGGATAGCTATGACAGTACATAACTTGTGATTCGAATATCAAATCAAACTATTGTGGTTAGGTACTATCTTTTTTAATATCTTTACATAGTATAAAACAAAATTGCTGCCGCTTTCTGTGCGCTTATATTTTTTAAATTACACGACTGATTTTAATGCAGTTTTCAACCAAGAATAGGGAAACCAGCAACACCAGGGGAATTGCAAGTACGTGCTTTTTTCTTGAAGGTTTCAACGTTGTATCAGTTCGGAAATACCATTGCTGGAAGGTGACTCCACAATGTGGTTGTGCGAGGCAAAAAGTTTCTGTAAAAACGCGAGGTAAAAGACCGCCATTCATCCGATAATCGGGATGGTATTTTAGTTTTTTTTTATACTTAAATAATTTTTTTATATCAGTTGTCTAGTACTCATAATACAAGTTTTAGCTAGCTTATATTGGGCCTAAATGACGCAAATGATTGTTTGTATTGATCTGGGTTTTTCTATGTATATTATGTATGTATTTATAAAAAATTGTACCTAAATATTTTATCAGTTGACTAGTATGGATAACACAAGTTCTGCTTAGCTTGGGACTAGATGGCGCTGTGTGAATTTTTCAATATTATTATTATTATCTAGACATATACATAAAATTGGAGTATCTGTTTGTAATATTGAAATAGCCGTTTTTACTACATGCATATGAATATAAATACGGTACATGTACCTAAATAATATTTTTTACAAATTTTGTCTGTCTGTCTATTTGTTCCGGCTAATCTCTGAAATGCCTGAACCGATTTCGACGGGATTTGGGGGGGTAGCTGATGTAATAAGGAGTACCTTAAGCTACTCTTGTTTAAAAATATAAAGTTATGTTCCACGCGGACGAAGTCGCGGGAATAGCTAGTTATGTAATAAATTAGATATAAATAATTACGATTATGAGATTTTTCAGGTGTCTCCATCACTCGGCACAATAAAGTACAGCCCCTGGCAACCGAGAGCAGCCCACTGGCATTTAACAGTTGGCACCACTGCGAGCTCCATTCGTTTAGTAACCTAATTATTTCTGCTGCCCTGGTAACTTCCTGCATAATTGGTCGTATTAACCGACTTTTAAAATCAATTAGTTCTCAATTCGGCCGTTTTTTTATGAATCAGCGACATCTAGTCTTAAGCTAAGCAAAGCTAAGATTTTTTTTTGTAAATACATACATATTACACATAGAAAACACCCAGACCTATACAAACAATCATACTAATGAATACAAATGTATGCACCCGTTCGAGGGATCGAACCCGCGACCATCGGAATGCTAAACCACTAAACCACCGAGGCCGTCAATGTGAATGTGTGTTAATTTCTGAAGACTTTATACAGATAGTTGTGTTTTTGCTCTGAGTTTTCTTTTCTAACCTCTCTCTTACTAACTACTCTTATTTCATACACCGTGCATGTACAAATAGTTGTGTTTTTGCTCTGAGTTTTCTTTTCTTACCTCTCTCTTACTAACTACTCTTAATTTATACACCGTGCATGTACAAATAGTTGTGTTTTTGCTCTGAGTTTTCTTTTCTAACCTCTCTCTTACTAACTACTCTTATTTCATACACCGTGCATGTACAAATAGTTGTGTTTTTGCTCTGTGTTTTCTTTTCTTACCTCTCTCTTACTAACTACTCTTAATTCATACACCGTGCATGTACAAATAGTTGTGTTTTTGCTCTGAGTTTTCTTTTCTTACCTCTCTCTTACTAACTACTCTTAATTCATACACCGTGCATGTACAAATAGTTGTGTTTTTGCTCTGAGTTTTCTTTTCTTACCTCTCTCTTACTAACTACTCTTAATTCATACACCGTGCATGTACAAATAGTTGTGTTTTTGCTCTGTGTTTTCTTTTCTTACCTCTCTCTTACTAACTACTCTTAATTTATACACCGTGCATGTACAAATAGTTGTGTTTTTGCTCTGAGTTTTCTTTTCTTACCTCTCTCTTACTAACTACTCTTAATTTATACACCGTGCATGTACAAATAGTTGTGTTTTTGCTCTGAGTTTTCTTTTCTAACCTCTCTCTTACTAACTACTCTTATTTCATACACCGTGCATGTACAAATAGTTGTGTTTTTGCTCTGTGTTTTCTTTTCTTACCTCTCTCTTACTAACTACTCTTAATTCATACACCGTGCATGTACAAATAGTTGTGTTTTTGCTCTGAGTTTTCTTTTCTTACCTCTCTCTTACTAACTACTCTTAATTCATACACCGTGCATGTACAAATAGTTGTGTTTTTGCTCTGAGTTTTCTTTTCTTACCTCTCTCTTACTAACTACTCTTAATTCATACACCGTGCATGTACAAATAGTTGTGTTTTTGCTCTGAGTTTTCTTTTCTTACCTCTCTCTTACTAACTACTCTTAATTCATACACCGTGCATGTACAAATAGTTGTGTTTTTGCTCTGAGTTTTCTTTTCTTACCTCTCTCTTACTAACTACTCTTAATTCATACACCGTGCATGTACAAATAGTTGTGTTTTTGCTCTGAGTTTTCTTTTCTTACCTCTCTCTTACTAACTACTCTTAATTCATACACCGTGCATGTACAAATAGTTGTGTTTTTGCTCTGAGTTTTCTTTTCTAACCTCTCTCTTACTAACTACTCTTAATTCATACACCGTGCATGTACAAATAGTTGTGTTTTTGCTCTGAGTTTTCTTTTCTTACCTCTCTCTTACTAACTACTCTTAAATCATACATCAAGCTGCTTACTTTTTAAGCTAAGTGTGTTTTAAAAATGAAGGATATGGGTATAAATAATTGTGTATAGCTTTACGATGTCTTAGTCCTCTCTCTTACCTCTTTCGGTCCAAGC